CACACACACACACACACACACACACACACACACACGCACACGCTGACAGGCTGCTCAGATATTTCAGCTTTTATTGCGTCTGTGAGAGCAGTGATGAATGCACTCAGGTTCCCCTCCAGCCACAGATGGCTGTAGATTGCTTGATAAATAGTTGATGTCGCCAGTGTTTCAAAAAGATTGTCTAAAGTCATGCTGTGTCTTCAGAAAGGAGAGAATCAGGTCCAGAGACGTGTTGCACTGCAGCACAGAGGAGAGCAAGCAYATGATTTCTCTCTCTCTTTTTTTTTCTTTCTCGTTCATAGAGCAAAAATGAGCCATTTTCCCAGGGAGAGTACAACGTGTACAGCACCTTTCAGAGCCATGAGCCTGAATTCGACTACCTTAAGAGTTTGGAAATCGAGGAGAAGATCAATAAGATCCGATGGCTGCCTCAACAGAATGCTGCACACTTCCTCCTCTCCACCAACGGTAAGAATTGGACCTCACTTTCAAACAAACATACATACACATCTTAAAAAAGCCAGGGCACCATGTGATGGAGCATTTAGCTTTATGGAACTTTGCAAATATAATTAAAGGTCCYGCATTCCTTAAAGCAGAGATCACCAACCCTGATCCTCGTGGCTCAGTGTTTTCTGCACGTTTTAGCTGGTTTTCTTCTTTAACACACCAGATTGAAATTAATGAATKTCTGCTGGACTTGATAACATCCTGAGCAAGGTTTAACAGTTAAGGATTTTTCATTATAGTTTAGTTTTATGTCATTGTGACTTTTTTTCTTTGAATTTGGTTAGTTTTAATAAGATTTTAAAGTGTGCTAGCTTTTGTTAGTTAATATGACATTTTTAGTGCTTAGTTTTAGTTTAGTTTAGTTTTTATTAGTTCTAGTATTAGTTCTTTTTATAGTTTGAATAAACATATTTGCCAATGCGTCCTCAAGCTTGTGATGTTCCTGTGAATTAACTAACTAACAGCTATTTGGTTGCCAGTTAAAGCAGTCCATTATAGCAACACCTTCCTAAAATAATAGTGTAACTCAATTTTGCCAACTAAGGACATGGGGGATTATTTTAGGACGATGACAATTGTCGTCTCCAACCCGGTGCTACCTGTTGCTTGTTTTTCACTGGAGCTACTGAGAGAAGCTAACGTGTCAAGATAGTCATAGTTAGCCATCTTATGTGAGCTTGATTCATGCAGTTTTTCCCTTGAGAATTATTCCACCTATTTTGTCACCTGATTCCACTACAAGACACTTGCTTTGATTTTTCTCGCAGTCATATTCAAAGAAATCCCAAAAAGTGGACGTTGCCGTTTTCTCCCAACTTTTGTTGTCGTCATTTAGCAGACGATGCTGAGCAGCAGATTGTAAACAAGTGTTATGAACCATGAGGTGCTGTAAGCGGCCTACAGCTAATGTGAAACTACTCAATTAAAAAAAAAGGGGGAAAAAATGGACAAACACTAAAACTAAGGATATTCTATCTATAATTTCAGTTTTGGTTTTGTAAAAAGATAATACAGTTTTAGTTATCGTTTTTTCACTTTATTACAGTTTTTATTTATTTTAGTTAACTAAAATGTTTTTTAAATTTCAGTTTTTGTCATTTAGTTAGTTTTAGTTAACTATAATAACCCTGATCCTGAGTAGGTAATTCTGTTATGTGAGTCAGATGTGTTGAAACAGGGAAACAGCTAAAACCTTTGAAGGAATCCATGTCACCTGCTGTCTTTCATGTCAGAAATCATGTATCATTTGTCAAACCTCACAAACAATGTTATGCAACATCTCATGTGATATCCCGTGATGTGAATGACTCTCAGCTATCACCACAAGACATTTTAGRTCAATATCTGTCAAATGAACTGTGTTATAGCCATTTTTGAGTTGCCTAATTGCCCTCAGCTATGGCAGCTGTCTTGAACTGTCTTGACTCCAGCAAAAAAAAAAAAAAAAAAATTGTTCTAGCCGTACATTCAGTGATTTTATTCCTGAAAGTTTCCTTAAAATACAATTAGTGGCTTGTGAGATATTGTGAGTTTAATCCAAATAGGTAATGATTAAATGATAAACAGAAGATTTTGACAATTTGTTAGCATTCATAATATGTGTGAGGATCAGTTTCAGCTAATGCAAATCCACATTTTAGGTCAGTTTTTATAAAACTGACAGAGTTGTAGTCAGTGGCGTATATCGTAAGCCCACCCACACAGACCAATATTTGCGTTTTGACTCCCACCACCCACTGGAACACAAGTTAGGAGTGATCAGGACTCTGTACCACAGAGCAGACAGTGTCCCTACAAACCCAGGAGCCAGGSAGAAAGAGAAATCACACACACGACAGGTCTTGGAGCAGTGTGGTTATCCTGACTGCGCTTTCCTGAAAGCAGACAGGAAACACAGACAGGATTCCATGCAACCTTCAGGTGAAAATGAAGACCCCAAACCCAGACCCAAACCAGTGGTTATTCCGTATGTTGCGGGTGTTTTGGAGAAACAGACATTTATTTTCTAAACATGATGTCCCAGTGGCTTTCAAACCCCAAAACACATTACGGCAAAGGCTGGTTCACCCCAAAGATCCGGTGCCCCGGCACAAACAGAGCAATATTGTATATGCTGTTAAGTGCCAGGAGGACTGCGACCAGTTATACATCGGGGAAGCAAAGCAGCCACTGTTCAAAAGAATGTCCCAACACAGACGAGCTACATCTAATGGCCAGAACTCTGCAGTTTTCACTCATTTACAGGCCAGCGGTCACTCTTTCAGAGATGAGGATGTTCTCATTCTTGATAGAGAGGAACGTTGGTTTGAGAGAGGAGTAAAAGAAGCCATTTTTGTGAAGAAAGACCRTCCATCATTAAACAGAGGTGGAGGCCTTCGTTTTCAGTTGTCCCCCTCCTACAGTGTGGCTATTGCCAGTATCACTCCACCCCCTGTTAACAATAAGTGTTAATTAGGTGTCAACGATWGCCATGTGATGTGAGTATCAGTCACATGGAGGCTGGGCTTAACAGCCTGAATTTTGCCTGAAACTCTCAGACTGAAKAAGTCTCTTGGAGGAGAGACGAAACGTTTCATTAGAGAAGAACCCGTCCAGAAGACCTATACAATTTTTTCCTTTTTGATTTTTACCTGGATTACTGAGATGCATCAGGACAGATGTAGAGAAGAGTCTTTGTTTGTTTTGCCTTCTCAAATTCCAAGTGCTTCATCCTCCGAGTTTGTGTTGCTCGACAGATAGGTCCAAATTTATGGTTTATGTTCAGAGTTTATGGCTATGCTAGAAGATACAGAAGCACCCTGAGAGCCCTGGTATTGATTTCTTTAAGTAATATATTATTTATAATGGAGGGAATGAAAAATGGAGGAGCTGTTTCAGCAGTCGGGCTTTGATGCTGCCGAGTTGTTTTCTGACAATATTTTTCTGTAAAACAGAAAAATATGTCAAACTGGATTAATTTGCATATTTTTTATTTAATTTATTTTTTATTGCAAATCCTTTTGGGGGGGGGGGTTGTTTGGTTGATTATGAAATAATTGTATCCATTTTGATTCATTCTTATCAGACACACCAGATAAATTTCTAACTTAAAAACGTTTCATTTAGTAGCTAAACTTCCACAATATGTCTGCTCTTTGATTAAAATCACAGCCCATTTAAACTTGATGTCAAAATATATATTTGCCAAGATGACTGACAAATTTAATCTCCCTGAGACAACAACAAATGACTATAATTAGTAATCAGTTTTATAGATATTGAGCTGTGGTTGTTCAGAGTCATCCACATCACAAATTTCAAGCTCTAAACAGATTGTTCATCAAGATTTGACAATTTATTTATTTATTTATTTATTTAAACTTTTAAGTAACAATTAAAAATGTATTACACTCAGCCTGCACTACCACTTTTGTATCAAATAAAATTCTTTTTAATTTTAAGAAATCAGTTAAGTTGATGCATCTTGGTGGGAGGTTTCAGATCTGAACACTTTGACTAATCCTGGAGGACTGTGATATTTGGATGACAAAAGTCAGCCTTGTTAACTTTAGTTTTAAAAGAAAATCTTTTAAAATGCTGAAGCAAATATAACCACATTAGCCATTTCATGTAARGACACCTTTGCTGTTAGTAATATGTCATATGAGGTAGCTAATTAACATTTTACATTACACTAGATCTTTTTTTTTTACGTTGAAAATCAAACAATCAAATCCTCGCTTGATGACACCATGTCTGCAGTAATCAGGTGTATTGAAGGGATTAAGTGTGAAAGTCCCACTTATGTCCTTACAGAGTTTACGTTTAGGAGTCATTTGAACTGATTTTTGCTTTTTTTTGGAGTCGGCACTTCCTCTGCCACAAAACGTTCGAACTACAGTAAAATCAGAACAAAACAAAAGGCAAACTGTCAGTTTTCTGTGTCTCTGCASAAAAATACACCAACTTGTCCACGAGCATCTCTGGCTCAGGCCTGAGAGGGATTTCTGTAATTTGAGCGCGAAATGCTTTTGTAAAAAGGGATTCCAGCCTTTAATGACCCTCTGTGTTTTCCAGATAAGACTATTAAATTGTGGAAGGTGAGTGAAAGAGACAAACGGCCAGAAGGATACAACCTGAAGGATGAGGAAGGTCGCATCAAGGACGTCTCCACAGTCACCTCCCTGCAGGTATCTGTCTGTCTGTCCATCCAGAACCCTTTTCTCTATTCTTCTGAAATGCTTGGGCAAAGAAACTGGGTCAGTGAAGACAGCTGTGCTTGCATGTACAAAAATGGGTCACTGGCACAAGGTACACAAGAGTATGTGTGAGTTTATGGGGGAGGTGCTGCTGCTTCTGGTTAAAGAATTAATATTTCTGTTAGGAGCCAAAACTCAGCAACCAGTTACTCACAGTGGCCCTTTGGGTTTTTAGGTGTGTATACTGTAGCTCTGCGTTTATAGAGGTCGGAGAACAAGTGTGTGCCGTTTTAATGTAAGTGAAATGTGCGAAAAAGTCCCGACATGTTTATCTTTTATGTACAGCTAAAAAATCTCTAGGCAAAGTATTAAAATGCTTCTTGATGTTATTATTAAAATGATAGTTCATATTTTTTGAAGTGGGACCCCCACTGAAAGCTTATAAACATTAATATTTTTTTTTACCAGTTTGCTCTCTGTATTTAGACTGGATTGATGMGCTAACAGGTAGCTCATCGAAGCCAAAAACCAAACTATAACACCAAAAATTTCATTCATTCAGACGTTTCAAACTTTTATTTTGTCGTCAATTTCCCATTATTTTACTGTGCAAACAGCAGCACCTGCAGCTAGCKGTAGCACTTCTCGTGGAGCCTGAACCATCTCAGTTCATACTTTTTATCTCCCATGTATTATTGCTGTTGCRATATTAAAACTATATAACATACAATCTATTTTTGTTGTATTATTATTCCTGAACCGATAAAATAAATATATCGCTCTGCTTTTTATATCCAGGTCCCAGTCTTGAAGCCCATGGACCTGATGGTGGAGGTGAGCCCTCGACGAGTGTTCGCCAACGCCCACACGTACCACATCAACTCCATCTCGGTCAACTCCGACTACGAGACCTACATGTCAGCTGACGACCTGAGGATCAACCTCTGGCATCTGGACATCACCGACCGCAGCTTCAGTATCCTTTGAAACCACAAAGAGCATCAGGGATAATGAAGACATACAGTATATGTAAACACATGCACTTACTTCAACGCAGGAGTGCAGCAAAATGACACGTATAACTAATGGCCACATGTTCAACACAGTCCTTTACAAACACATAAAATAACTTCTACACTGCGAAAACAACTTTGTCACATAAAGAAATGCACAGAAACACATCGTGTTGGGGGAGGGGGATACGATTCATAAGGAGTCAAACTATATCCTCATGAATAATTCAGAAGCTGCATAAATATTTCAGCTCCTTCCTGAGCTCTAATCCACAGAGGGACTCAGACCAGTCACGTGCCTGACCCAGACAGGATTTATAATATCACAATTCTTCTGAATATGGATTTACTTTTCTGCAGACAGGCCCCCAAAGATATATTTTTATTGGTTTGCTTTACTCTGCAGTAAATAATTCAGAAAGCGACGCCTGTGTTTACGTACACACGTGCTTAAGTTTTGCATGCAGACTGTGGGCCTGTGTAAGTTTTAACACTTTCATTGGTTTTGTTTTGAGAAAATTAGTGAATAAAAGTTCCACAAAGCTGGACACACATACAAGGTCAGGAAAAACCCGAGACATGGATTCTCTGCTGTTTCCCTGAGCGATGCCTCTTTCTGTCAGACATTGTTGATATCAAACCAGCCAACATGGAGGATCTGACAGAGGTGATCACAGCAGCTGAGTTCCACCCCCACCACTGCAACCTGTTCGTTTACAGCAGCAGCAAAGGCACCCTRCGTCTCTGTGACATGAGGGAAGCAGCGCTCTGCGACAAGCACTCCAAATGTGAGTAAACCTGCTGACATAGTGAAGCTGTCTGATCTCTTTATTTACTTCAGCTTAACCACACAGATGGGTTTGGTTTGAATAAAAATGTCTTTTTGTCTTTTTTTTTCTCAGAGATAATTTCCTCCACTGCTGCCTGACGGGTTGTGTTATCATATGCTGCACGTCTGTTAGCAGGTTTCTTGTCAGTTTAACTCTTTTTGCTCCTTTTAAAGGGATTTGATGAAACTTTGCTGCATGAATTGACAGCATTTTGTTCTTCGTCCTTTCTTACTGATGTCATGGCCTTCTGCAATATTTCATATTGAGCTGAGGATTAATTAGCAAACTAATCTGCAGACTAAATGTAGTCAAACTCTACATTTTTGCTACTTTCCCTGTGTGCTAGCAAGGCTACTTTCAATACCTGCTGAGAAAACCAGATATCCAAATATTGCTTGAGGTTTTACTTTTTCATATCACAACAAGAAATCCTCATTAGAATACGYTATAAAATGATTTATTTAGATTTTCCAGGGGTTTTCTTACTTAGCAAGACAAATCAAGCCAAACCTCTGGAACGGCTCATATCGGGATGATTTAGATGTCAAAGTGTAGCTTAAAAAAGCCAGAAATCTGGGAATGTGCTTCGTTTAGTTTGACCAAATGTGACTTAAATCCCTGATTTGATGAGAGGGGTTAATTCTTGTCAGTTTACTGTATAGCATGCATTACAATTTTTATGTTTTTTTCCTTAAAATTAAATCAAGAAATCATTTGGATAATAGTGACAACTTAAATTTTTTTGGCTGTCTGAGGTTTTATGGTGAAAACTCCTTTAATAAAATAAAAAAAACTGTTGCTTAAATGTAAGGATGTTTAAGGTAAATGTATTTTTATTTCCTAGGGGAGGATTACTCTGCCTTATGTTTTTCTTTTTAAGTTTATTTTGACTCATAGCCTCAGGAGGGATAGTGGACTTTAGTTTKTGGGTCGTCACTACGACCCATCTTAAAAGCTGCACTTGTTAACATCCATGTTTTCCAAAGGATTAATCCTGATAACTTTGGTGATCCTCTGATTTCCTCYATGAACAAATAAAATCCCTCTTGTGCTTCTCAGTGCTGTGATTTGAAAGCCCTCAGATGGATTGCAGTGGGTTTTGCAGCCCGTTCGTGCCTCTGTCAGACAAAATGTGATTGATTTGATGTTTATGTCCTCATGTAGAAATTTCAGTTGATTTTCCTCAGCAAATACTAGTGATGACCTGAGAGTCTCGTACCGAGTGTGATTTGTAGAATTAGGAAAAAAAATAGATCTAGATGTAGGTGAAAAATAATTTCTAGTGCAAAGTTAAATGAGCAGAAAAGTTTTCAGAATAAAAGCACTTGAATAAACAGAATTATCCTCTGCAAATACAGTCTGGTTCAAATAAAATATCTTTACATTCAAATAATGCTAACAATCAACATGAAAGAAAGAGACAAAAATACACAAAATAATTATTTGTTTATTGGATGTTAATATTTTAAAACAGTGCATGCTGAAATAATAATTAATTCTGGTGTAGATTCTCAGTCATCCAGGACATGGTTAAAATAAAACAATCTGGACTTTTATTCTGTAGTTGAACATGTTTTATACCCATCTGGGTCTCTTTCTTAACTCAGAATTGCAGAATAGAGTTCAGAGTTTTTTTAACCTGCATGAGAGGCTCCATTATGTAACATGAAGGTTAAAACGGGTTCTCAAAGTTGGGGGTCAGGACCCCATCATGAATATTGTTACTGTGCTCGTGTTTATTTGAACTGATAACAATGGGCCTCATGCAAGAACATGTTCGTATTCTTATCCTAAATTTCTCTTACTTTTGTT